AAATTAAATGGCTGGCTTCAATAAAGGTCTCCCTGTTTTCTGCCCAGTTCCTTGTGTTAAATGACTTGTGCTTTGGCCAGAGTAACCTTTTAAAAACACGAATTTTTATCATCCTACCCAGTCCTTCCTCGTCAGTGTTTACAGAGTCCCAGCACCCTGTTTGGAGATTTACGGGAAATCCAGTGAACTTGAGATCACTCTGACAATGAGAGGCACCATGGGCCTTCTCATTAATAGCAATGCACTTAGTTTAAATTGTGGGTTTGTTTCAAAAGAAACCCTCAAACCCATGAGCCCTGCAGGAAACGAGTGAGTCAGGCTTCTCAGTATCTGGTGTCCTATCAGTGGGGGTGATAGCATCGGTACTCGGCTGCCTGGACATGCCCATCAAGGTTTCTGTGTATCCCCGGACAGACAACAGCCCAGGCTCTCCTCTCTTCACATGAGGGGCTCTGAGAATTTTCACCCTGTGGATCAGGTGTTATGTGGGCTCCGTGGGTGGTATCCAGCCTCTGGGGCTGCTGAGTCTTGTGTAGGTGCAGGGTAGGCTCTGTGTGTGTGACCTGACCTCTCAGAGGGCCGCATGTTTTGCTACTGTGTGTCTGGGGTGGGCATAGAGGTATGGGGGGGGGGCATAAGGCAGTCTCCCGACTACAGTTATTTACACATTTGGGAAAACACAGTCTGACAGAATTTCCTCCTGTCCGTGTGAGCCCATTTCCCCCCTGTCTTTGCTAAGAGGAAGTTCCATTCGCTCACAGAAACCCAGAACCACACATTCCTCAGTCTGGAAAAGCCCTTGAAGGAGGTGCTCAGCTGAAGACCAACTGTGGCCTTCTGTTGGGGACTTTAATCTGAATTCCAGAGAAGCCAGAATGAAGTATTCTACCAGCCGCTGCCTGGAAGAGTCCTCTAGGTTCCCCCCCAAGCCCTAGCTGCACCCAGGAGCCAACTGACTCTCACTCTTACAGACAGGGCTAGGCCTACCGAGAGCCACAGCCCACCCCCACCTCCATTCTGTCCTGCAGGCCTGCTTCTCACGTTTTCTCCCCCAACCGAACTGACTCTCTTTCTTTCTACAATGGCAATTTCTCTTCTCTTTCATACATCCAGTGTTCAGGCTCCATCCCACCTGCCTCAGGGGCTTTTCCACAGGGAAGAAGCCATCCTCAACACCATTTCCAGGGAAGAATGGTCATTGCACCTCTCTTTTCAGATCCTGCCAGGAGCTCCCCAGGGTGGAAGTATGCCCATGTCGCACGCACGTACACAGAGCTGTTCAAGTTCTCTGCAGGGGGAGGGTTGGTGTCTCTCCAGAAGGCCTCCTTTCTCAGTGACTAGGGAAGGAACATGGGAAGGGACAATAGCAGGCAAGGGACAAGGTGTCCCTCAGACACATAGATGCCTAGGACTCAGGGCCAGGCCCTAGGTTTGCTACATCCACATGGCTGAGTTCAGGGAGATGTGCGAGCCCACACCCTGATCACTGTAGAAAATGCCTTTAGAACAGAACTCTGGAGGCTCCTGGCCTATGGGAAGCACCCAGGCACATCTTCAGGGTAAGGGGAACAGGCACAGAGTCTGCAGGTCTGGCTCACTTACTTCCTGGGAGGGTCTTGCTAGTTCCACACTGTCAGAACTCACATCCCAAACACTGGGGTGCACTTTGTACCTTTCAGTCTTCTGAAAGAACACCCCAGTCACCTCTCTTTCATTTTCACCTGTTTCCGAGAAAAACAGTCTATTTCCCTTTCTGGCCCTAACAGCTCTTGACAGCTGTTCACACATGGGATGCCAGATGTGGGGCAGCCCAGTAAGCTCTTTTCATCCATGATCTCATTCCGACCCCATGACATCTCACCATGACAGCTGTCACTTTCATGTCACCTTTGGGGAATCAGAAACTGTGAGAGAACATGTGCCTTTCCCAAAGTCACAGTTAACGCTGAAGCTGGGCCTGTCTGTGTGGGCCCGGGTCCTCAGACACATATCCTTAAAGCACATCTTGTTTATAACCATCACCAATTATCCGCAGTTTCCATGAGGAATCTGATTGCTTTCCCAAAGTACCTGCGACTATTTATTGGAATGAAAACACACCACACTCACTGGCTGTTTCAGGCACAGCCATGTCCATTTTCCCAATGAGACTCCACACTCCTAGGGACTGGGAGTGTCAGGAACTTTTCAAGTTTTACATACAGACAGGAAAACTGAGGCTCAAAGAGGAAATGTGACTTGCCCAAGGTCACACAGCTAGAAACGGTGCCGTCAGAACTGGACCTCCGGAGAGACCCCGAGACCTGCCCCTGTGCTCTGCTGCCTCTTCAATAAATAAGTGAGCAAAATAAATAAATAAAGGTTCCACGGCAATCCCAAGGAGTCCTTCCAACTTCAGAAGGAGCTCTGGTATCAGACTGGCATCATGGCCTTCTTGGCAGGGTGGCAAGGCTCATGGCTGGTTTTCCTGGGTCACACAGTCTGTTTTTGGAAAGCTTCAGAGACAGTCTGGGCTCAGGGACCAGCAGCCCTGCCAGGGGATCAGCAGCCCTGCTGTGTCTCCCAGCATCCTTACTCAGGGGCTGCAAACTTCCTTTGCTTGAAGACAGATCTCAAATGCAGTAAAGGGAAGCAGGGGCCAGCCCTGGGCCCCAGTGTCTAGCAACTATCTTGACACAAGGTCCTAGACTCCTGCAAGATCTCTGAGACCACAGGCAGAAGCCACCTGTGGGCAGATGGGTTCCACAGTCTACTTCCTGCCAGTCCAGCGGTAGGCAAGACCTAAAGTATCACCCCAGGGCCAACTTGGCTAACATTCAACGTGAGGGAATCTTCCTCACAATTCATTCTTTATTTTCGTCCCCTGAAGAAGCTGCTGGTCCACGGTCACGCAGCTGAACCCAGAGATGCCAGCCCAGCCCCCTGTCCTCTGGGTCTGTAGTTAAAAATTAGCAGCAAATGCAGACATGTAAGTCCTAAGGCTGGGCCAGTGTCTATGCCCAAAGGCTACCTATAGGGTAGTGTGCTAACACAGACAGCCATAGTTTGTCTGGCCTGTCAGCACACTAGTGAGCAGCAAGGAGCAATGGCTTGGCCACTGCAGATAGCCCAGGGGACACAGACGTGTTTGTCAAAAAGAGGGAGGTGTCTGCTGATGGATAGCAGAGGCACCCCACAGGAGGTGCAGATTCTGTGTCTCGGTCCCCTTTGCCCCACAGTTCTGAATTAGCTGGCTGATCATTCAAGGTGGTATGTACCTCAAGATCTACCAGTGACAGGCACCCTGTCCAAGTTGGGGAGTGTCTCTACATGACAACATTAAACCTGGCTCCTGCCCCTCCTTTCTTTCTGGGGCCCTCCCTGTACCCTGCAGGAGGCTAGCCTCTCCCCCTCCTCCATAGACATCCAGGCTGCTCAGACATCAGCCTGGCAGCCTTACCACATCCAGAAAACCCTGAGGTTCCTCCCAAACACAGGTCCTTTCGGTCCAGGACCCAGGCCTGAGGAGTAAGGCCTCTATCTACCCTCCAGCTCGGCTGGAATCTTCAGGGCCCCTCTCAGGGGAACCAAACACAACCTCCCACATACTGGATACTAGCCCAGCAAGATGGCCTTTTCCTGTCCTGTGGGGCCTGTCCTAGCCGGCCACAGTGGATCTGTAGAAAAAGGCCCGCACATTTCTTTGGCTCCTGGGCCCTCCTGATGCAGACAGGAGAGCAGTTATGCTGGAATACGAAGAACCCTTAGCCTGGGTCATTCCTCTACCTGCAGGCTGGAGATCAGCGGCAGGGTGGCCAGCTTAGAGTCTAAGCTAGCCAGGAGGCCACCAGGGGCTGCCCCATAGTCCCGAGGGGCAAGTTCATGGGCAAAATTCCAAGTCTCTGTGCCTAGGTCTCCACAGCTGACCACGCCCAGGAGCGACCATCCTTCAGCCAGCTGACTCCTTTGCCTACTTAGGGGCCCTGCTGGTGCTGGGGTCATCCCTTGGGACTCCTGTTTCAAATAACCCTTGGCCAGAGCTGGTGGAGGCCAAGCTAACTCGGCCTGTAGGCACACCCCAAGTTTAGGGTCAGAGTCATCTGCCAAGGGAATCTCTTTGTCCAAGTGTCCGGCTGGGTCTGCTGCCTCTTCCTTCCATCTGGCCTGTTTCTGGTAGCCCTGGGACGTCACCACGACTTGGTCTTTCTCCTCCGGGACTCCAGGTTCTAGGAGATGGACATGGCCCAAGGCAGAGCCACTCTGTGTGTCCTCAGCCTGCTCCGGAGAGCTCTGGACTAAGTGAACGTTGCTGTCATCCTGGCCCTGACTGGTGTATCCAAGCTGCTGCTTCCACTCGGGCCCCATGCTGGAATGTGAGCCGGGCTCCTGCAGGCAGATCCCACTGTCTGTGTTGTCCGCACAGCTGCCCCGTAGCTCAGGAGGCTCTTCCTTTCCTAGCATCCCTAGTCCCTGGGGGTGGGAGCCAGGGAGGAGAAAGTGGGACTCCTCAGTCTGCAGTGACGGCTTGCCGCTGCTGCCGAAGCCGCTGTCAGTGCTGCCGTGAAGGTCCGAGTCTTTCAGCTCTGGCGACACCTTCCGGAAGGCCTCCAAGTCCAGGATGTGAACAGTGTTGAGAGTTTCTGGGCAGAGAGGGTGGACCGGGAAGAAGTTGTGGGACTTCTCAAGGACCTGGGAGGAGAGAGAGGTAGGGTGAGTGCGATGACTGTCGTGATCAGTGTGACCGTATTGAGAACCACCACGTGGTCTCATAAAGTATTGTCTATAAGAAGGATGGCTTTGAGAAAGGTTAAACCGAGCTTGGGAGACTCAGTGTCCTGAGTGTGACACTGTCCCATGGGCTGGAATCCTGGGATGAATAAAGACCAAGAACGTGAGCTGAGCACCAGCCTTGCCCTCTCGGCGGCCCGACGGTAGCGATGCGACCAGCTGCTGCATGCTCCTTCGGTGGAGCTTGCATGGCGGCCTTGCACTCTCGAACCGTGAGCCACAACAAGACCTGCCCTCCCTCAAGTGGCTTCTGCCAGGCACTGGCTTTTGTCACAGCCACAGACTAGTACAGTGAGAGAGGCGTGACCGATGGCAAGGGCCCTCCTCGGGTGCCAGGTGAGGAACTGTGGGGGAGGCGTAGCGTGGGTGCAGAGCCCAGGCAGCCTGCACGGTGCTCTCCAGCTCCGTGCTGGCATTAGAATGTTCTCCCGAGGGTACCTCATGGTTTGGCCCTGGCAGGTGTATAGGAAGCTAGTGTTCCCGGGGCCAGATGTCATGGGGTCTTGCCGAAACTGGAGAAAGCTCTCAGATGCTCCGCTCATGAAGCTCTCTGCCATCCGGGTTAGGCTCGAAAAGCCGAGCCCATGCAGAAGTGTATTTCAAACTATTTTTTGACAATGACCCCAAGTAAGAAGTAGATGCTAAGTAAGCACCTGTGTGTGTAGCGCATGGGAGTGACTGAAGCTAGAGTCACAGAGAATAAGTATCTGTGTGTCACACAGTGCGTTCTCATTTTATCTCACTCTACCCCATCCCATCTCTCTATCCTGCCTTCCTTTGAATTTTGTAGCTTGCAGCCACGGGTTTGCTCTCCTTAGTTGCTAAGGGTCCTGGGGAAGTCACCTGACACTTTTCAGTTCATTCCTCTGCTCTGTCCACGGTGGTGTCCTTCCTGTCCTGAACATGGCAAGAGCGGCCCTGTCACAGGACCTTTGCACATGCTAACTACTCTGCTAGGAATACTCTTAGCACTCCATATGCCTGTGTCCTCCTCCTTGTCCAGCTCAGACACCACCTCTTCAGAGAGACTTTGCCAGCACCCAGGCCAAACCAACGCTGCAGCCATTTTCTCCATGCTTCTTTCCATCCTTCTTCCTAAACTTAGTTCCTATATGTGCTGGCTGGTCTTATGCCGACTGGACACCCAAACTAGAGTTATCTGAAAGGAGGGAGCCTTAATTGAGAAAATGCCTCCATAAGATCTAGCTGTAAGGTATTTTCTTTATTAGTAATTGATGGGGGGAGGGCCCAGTTCATTGTGGGTGGTGCTGTCCCTGGTCTGGTGGTCCTGGGTTCTATAAGAAAGCAGGCTGAGCAAGCCAGGGGAGCAAGCCAGTACGCTGTGTTTCTCCATGCCCTCTGCATCAGCTCCTGCCTCTGGGATCCTGCTGTTTGAGTTAGTGTCCTGGCTTCCTTTGATGATGAATAGCAATATGCAAGTATAGGCCAAATGAACCCTTTCCTTCCCAACTTGCATTTTGGTCATGGCCTTCCACTGCAGCCATAGAAACTCTAATTAAGACACTATAATATGAACTCTAGAGGCAGGAACCGTCCAGTCTTATTCATCACTCTAAGAGCCTAAGTTGAGCTGGAACTAGTCAGGTTTGTTGACTGACTGACCGACTGACTCTGCCACACCTCATTTCCTCGACGCTTAATGACTCCAATGCAGTTCCTCTTGGTTGTGTTCCTGTTACTATGCACCATGGCTAACTAGGTCCCTAGCGGCCACCGTGACTCATGATGAAGGTTGTATCTTTTAGCAGCTTGCTACTGAGCCAGTATCCTTTTTTCTAAGCTTTAGTTTCTCAAGCATAGCTGGACTTAATGACAGCATGTGACTTCTCATGGTGAAGGAGTCCACATTGCTTGGACCATTCAGGTTACATAGAGGACACTCAACAGGTATATGCTGAGTTGAACTGCACTCCCTGGTGAGTGTATAGGAATATCAATTACCCCTGTGTCCTAGAGGACAAACCCAAAGCTCAGAGAGGTTAGATGATACACCTGGAGTCACCAGCAACAAAGGACAAACCTGGAGTCATACACAGCTATCTGGATTTGAGGTCCCCAGCTTGCTTAATAGAACCGACTTCAATGACCTGCTGGATGCTCAGCTTAAATCAGCAGACGGTTCAGAGTAAACTCAGGAACGGGCCAGGGCTCTCACACACAAGTTAGCCCCACAGACAGGAGCACTGCTAAGAGGAACTGGGCTGTTTAAATCCGAGGGGGAAAGCTCTCAAGGGAACAGCAAGGCTGTGACTCACAGGTTCCGAAGGAATCAACAAGCAGCCGCCTGTCATTTCTGGGCATTTGGTAATCTCTAATCTCTGCCTATTTCATGGCTTTACATTAAAGTGGCCTTTCACACCAGGCTGGCACTGGCTCCCATCAAGTCCCAGGAACCCCTCGAGGCCAGGTTAGTCAGTTTCCTCCCTGACAGAACATGCAAACAGGGAGGATGTTCTGTAGCTAGCTCCAACACCCTTCCTTCCTGACCCCCTCCAGGCACAGCGCTACCTTCTCCCACTTCCACAGGGCTGGGCTCAGTAGTGTGGTTCATGTGTCCCCAAGCCACCAGCATGGGACGGCTGGCCCTGCAGAGTATGAGCTAAGGTGCCCGTGGAACACAGGAGCACAGACACAGACGGTGAGGACAAACTGCAGCTAGACAGAGGAAGAACTAGCAAACCGTCGAGAGCTGTAAGGGCTGGTTCTCCCCTCTCTTCCTCGTAGTTCCTTACCAGTTGTGTTCTTGTCTAGGCCAAGGCCAGGCCATCCTTACACACACATATATTCATTCTCTCTCTGTCTCTCTGTCTCTCTCTCTCTGTCTCTCTGTCTCTGTCTCTGTCTCTGTCTCTGTCTCTCTCTCTCTCTCTCTGTGTGTGTGTCCTTATCTTTCCTAGAGACTCCAAGACTCCTCTATAGATTTCCCAGTGCTTGTCCAACTAGGTCCATATATATGTATGTATGTATGCATGTATGTATGTATGTATGTATGTATGTATATGTGACCCTGTGTAAGCAACCTCTCGGTCCTCACTGATAAAATGAGGATAATAGCCAGGACCAGTTCATGGTGCACAGTGGCTGGTCAACAGCCACTGTGTAGATGACAAAGGTGTGCTGACTCAGTGTGTGTGTGTGTGTGTGTGTGTGTGTGTGTGTGTGTGTGTGTACCTGCGCGTGCGTGCAGTCTCAGGGCTACTCAGAGGTCCTGTTCCCCAGAATGGGTTTAGTGTTTGCTTGACCTCTTCATTGCTGGATGAGGCTGCCCTGACCATGCAGGAATGTAGGAAGGATAGAGCACTCACCAGGACTGCAGGTAACTTCCCAGGGCGCCGGATGTAGTGCTGGAGAGCCAGGCAGGCCAGGACTCCACTGAGTATCAGGATTGACATGAAGAGAATGCTGAGGTTGGTCACAGTGAAGTCTGCAGATCCAGAAAGACGTGTTGGTGGCACATAAGGCACAGTCCCCAGAGATCCCTTGGCTATGATCAGGACATACTCGGTGAATGGCTCTGTGTCATCTCCACAGGGGTGGGTCACAGCCCTAGAGGTATCTAAGTTCCTAGAAACGTTCAGCCGCCACCAGTTCCTTCAGTAACAAACTGGCTCTGCCTCTAGCTGACTACCACGATGGCCAATGAAACACTGAGGCAGGACGAAATGGTAGGTAAGAGTGGAGACTGAGGCAGCTGCACCTGGGTTCAAATCCCAGCTGTACCTCTTACTAGCTGTGAGACTGCGGACCAAATAATGAATCCATCTGAGTTCCACTGTCCCTGTATACAGTGGGGAAAGTTACAGTACCACCTCAGGATGGCTATCCAACATCTCACTTGTATTACCTGACCCTAGGAACTGTCTCAGGAGGTTAATGCCAGCACCACCCCCATTTTACATGTTGAGATCCTGAGGCCCGGAGACACTAAGTCACTTGACCAAGGTCACATGTAAGCAACAAAGCTGATATTCAAAGAAACCTTTTGGATGATGAAAATACCAGCAGCACTTAAAGCGGCCGGCCAGCATACATTTGGTGACTTATTCTGCAATGGGACTTCCATGACAACGAGCTGCATTGAAATTTATCACAAATCTAGGAAGAGTCCCTTTCACGTTTGCTGGACAGGGCACTCCCAGCGCATACCCTGGGTACAATGTGGACCCTTAAATTAGCTGCCCTGGGTTGCTAGCTATGGATCCCTCTGGGCCGTCAGCAGGTTGAAAGGTTCCCAAGGGTGAGGCACAACTTCTGCCCTTGATAACCATCTGGGAAGGCGCCCTGGGCCGCTGGGTGAGGGCCTGGAACAGATTTTTGCTGACTCCAGCAGCTCCATCAAGGAGCCAGCTCAGCATTTCTTCTTCTGGGACACTTGGGGCAGGGAGGAGCCCTTCCCACACGGGCCCTGAGGAGGAACAGCCCCAAACAGGACCAAATAGGAAGATGTCTCCTGGAGATTTCACACAGTTCTGGCAACAGACCAACAGGAGAGACTGAGGCTGAAATAATGATGGTGACTCGCACCAGGGTGGGTGGGGCCACAACCCTGACCTGGCCCGCTTGGTCCTGCATCCTCTTTAAACCTGAACATCATGTTAATGTCAATGCCCTTAATGGATAGATTAATACCTTAATAACAGGACAGGGCCACAGTCCTGTTTGTTCCTCCTCCCCATGTGGCCACACTGATAAACTTCCCTTATTTGGTCTTTCAATCCGAGTCTCCGATTAAACTACTGAGGGTGGGTGGCTGAACTTGTTGGGGCGCAGTTGGGGCCAGGCTCTGCTGAGAGCACTGGAAATAATTCTAACAAGTTGTGGCCCAGAGAAGAGGCACATCTTGGATGCCAGCTCGCCCAGCAAGTCACCATGGACAGAAAGAAAAGGGTGAATAATCCCTTATAGCTGCTGCAACTATGCTGTTCTGGAGACGTGGTTTTAATCGTCCCACTTCAGCCACGACCATCTGCTTTTTATCTCTGTTTGGTGAAGCAGAGAAATTAATATTTGGACCTTGGTTTGGATTCTTAGGAAAGTTTCGACCCTTGGTAATTTCTCCTGGGTTGCTGAAACTTGGGCTTTGATTTCCTCTCAATTAAGGGGTCCTTTGAGCTCTCTCTCTCTCTCTCTCTCTCTCTCTCTCTCTCTCTCTCTCTCTCTCTCTCCTCTCTCTCTCTCTCTCTCTGTGTGTGTGTATGTGTGTGGTTTTATGTGTAGTATGGAGTTATGGTGTTTCGTGTTTGTGCTGTACATGCATGTGGCGGGGGGGAATGCACGCGCAGGCCAAAGGTCAACATTGGTGTCTCTCCTTGGCCATGCCTGTGCTCCATTTTTTTCTTTTGGGACAGGGAGGGTCTCATTGCATAACATTGCTGGCCTGGAACTCACTCTGTAGACCAGGCTGTCCTGGAACACACAGAGATCCACCTGCTTCTGCCTCCCGAGTGCTGGGATTAAAGGTGTGCACCATCATGCCTGGTTTTCCACCTAATTTTTTGAGATAGGGTCTCTCACTGAACCAGGAGCTCACTGATTCGGCTAGGTGGTCAGGGAGACAAGCCGGCCTATTTCTGGCCCCTCTCCTGAGGAGGGGGGTTGGGGTTATAGAAACACACACCATGCCTGGCTTTTACATGGGTTTTGGGGATTTGAATTCACCTCCTCATGCTTGTGGGGCAAGTATTGTATGGACTGAGCCATCTTCCTCCTTCCTTGAAGCCTTTTGGATTTGTGAATCGCTGTTGGTGGTCATTGGATAATTGTGTTTTGGAGTTCTTTTGAATTGCTACAGTTCTGCTGAACTATTTTGGGGCTTCATGTCATTTATAGGACAAGCCTTAAACTAGTTAGATAACACAGAAGTAGTCTGGACTCAGCTGAGCCAGTGGGGTTCTGTTTTGAAAGTGTATGTGCACATGAGACAGACAAACACGCATGCTGCGATGTTACTGTGATTGGCATAACCATAAAGTATTAAGATTTTACTATCTTGTTATCTCCTATGATAATTACTTTTTTTTTAAACTTAAGATAGTTGTAAGCAGGATGGGGCAACTTCTCCCATGGGTCGTGTTAAGAATGGTGGGCTCTATGTAGAAGCTCTGGGCCCAGCGTGGGCCCCAGCCACTCTGAGCATGGCTTTCTTGATTGTTCTGGACAGTTCTAGCACCCTCTGTCTGCGGTCTGGGCCACTCACATTGCTCCGTGAGACGTAAACACTGCTCCTCTGACCACTCTGCTCTGTTATTTCGGGTTTCCACCGAGGGCTTCACCTTGAAACAAAACTCTCCCTTCTCTGTGGGGACTTTGAAGGTGAAGTTCTCGTAATTCACTGTCATGGTTGTGTTCTGACATGGAAACAAGAACAACAGTAAACAATCCTTTCATGCATGCCACACAGAAGCTGCCCGTGGGAGGGGCCTCGGTTTGGTTTTCTGCTGGAGATGAGCCCAGGGCCCTGAGATGCTAGACGAGGGCGTTGCTAGGTGAGCCAGTCTGGGGGAGTGGGGCGCTCTAGAGAGGACTCTGCCAAGCATCTTCAGTCATCTTTTTCTAAGATAACAAATCCCGGGACTGTCAGCCCATCATCTCTGTAACCACCCGATCTAATTTTGCTCTAATCTTCTAATATCTCTCTCTCTCTCTCTCTCTCTCTCTCTCTCTCTCTGTGTGTGTGTGTGTGTCTGATGTGTATTGCATTGCACATGTATGAAGTCAGAGAACAATCAGTCTTCATCTCCCACTCTGTTTGAGACAAGGTCTCTGTGTTGCTTGCCATGGGCTACTCCAGTCCAGCCGGCCCAAAGCTTCCTCAGAGCCTCCTGTTCCCAGCTCCCATCTTACTGTAGAAGCAACGGATTACAAGTGTGTGCTGAGTCTGGCTTTGTGTGGGTGGTGGGGATTTGAACTCAGAACCTCATGCTGTGTGCCCAGAAAGCTTCTTACCTACATGTCCATCTCCCCAGCCCACTCCTTTTATTTTAATAGAACCAAGGGAGTCTTTTATAGAAGTAGAAGCTCTTCACAGAAGGAACTAGAAACAACTGAGGTAAGAGCATTCGATGGAGTTCGGACTACAGGGGCTGGGTGCTAGTATACCCTTCAGTTTCCTTTTCTTATCTACGAGCTGGAGGAAAAATACTCGAGAGTGGCTGGCATTTGCCTTGTGCATGGCTGGTGATGGGCACGTTCTTCTCACTGTCTCCTGGGAGTACAGTTTGAGAGCTCTGAATACGTCAGTTCCCTCCTGACTCTCCCCAAAACCTCTTTTTTCCTGTGTATGCTCAGCTTCCCAGTGGACACAACAGTGATTTCAATCTAGGTGGCCCTGGCCTGGTGGCCTTGGGGAACCTCATACCTTTTCCTCCTGAAACTTTCGGATGGAAATCATGTATCTGCGGTAATTCTCGAAGATCTGTACATACTCATCACCTGCAGGGACTATCTGGGGCCTGGGGGGATGGATTGTCCCAATGATGAAGCCGTCGTTGGTTACCTCCAGTGTCACGCTCCCGACTGTCAGAATCACTGAGAGAGAGGGGCGGGGGCCAAAGGCATGAGGCTGAGGGCTAAGGATAACATCCATAGCCTGACTCCAGGGTCAAAGCTTACCCACTCTAAATCCTAGGCCTTGGGTTTACAGCTCTACCCCACATAAGAACTTCATAGGGAATGTGTTACAGATGCTATGGGTCTTCTAGCGCTCGGGGCATCTGCATTTCTCAGCCTGGGCCCTGGAAATACAAATTTTAAAGCTACTCCCTAGGATATGCTTTCTGCAGGCGGCCGAGCCCGAGCATATGAGCTTGCATTTGGGAACCAATGACCTTCCCAGTGCCACCTCTAGCTCTGAATCCTACAGAATAAGCCCACCTTGTACCCAGACCCCTGTACAGGCCCAGTGTGGATAGCAGAACTCCACTGTGGCCAGGTTGACTCCTTTGGAGCATTCCAAAAATTGTCTTGATTTTTTTTTTCAGTATATCTTCCAACTTCAAAGGCAAGACCTGGGAGAGTCATTCCTATGAGGGGCCAAGGCCTCATCTGCATTCTGCCTCTACCTGCTTTAAAATCTCAGATAGCTTCAGATCTGTTGAGGCAACCAGCTCCCTGGCCAGGAGGTCCGGTGATGTGAGAAGCCGTGAGGACAGACAGAAAAGCCGTAGGCTGGAGTTCCTGACTGGAAGGGTCCCAGAAGGCCATGCTGTAGGTCTGGGGGGGAGGGGGAAGCACCTTCATCCACTGTGAAGCGGGTCTCAGTGAGGGTCCAGTTGGAGTACCGGCTGTTGTCTACTGCCCGAACTCTGGCCCAGTAGCCATTATTATGGTATAGATGCAGGGTAAACTCGGTGAGATCACAGGATGATGTCCCGACCTTTCCACAGCTGGGGATGTCTTCCCAGATCTTGGTTCCGTACCTGAGGAGACACCAGGGCAGGCACTGGGGAGGCAGCTTGTACCCAAACCTCTCTCCTTTAAGAAGGAAGGAAAAGGCCAGGGTACAACGTTCTCATAACGGCAGAAAAGGAGCCGTCCTCGGGGCCCTAGTCCTGAGCAGCTAATTGCAAGAGTCTCCCTCTTCCTTGGTCAAGGTCCCTGTTGACATCCATGGTCTAGAAGGCTTCTGGGTGGGAATCTAAGGAGCTCATCTCTCCACAAGAATGTGTTAGCCCACTCTGGAACCCCTCACTTCCTTTCTTCTAGTTTCATTTGTGAATACTTCTCCAGAATTCTAGGAAGCCCTCAGAGCCAATAGCTGCCCACTTTAGGGACCCCAGCACACTGCTCAACTTACGGGACACTCAAACAAGTATGTGTCAGAGTCCCTTCTGTCTCATTTCAATAGTAAAGCAGCCACTTAGTCCCTCTCCTACCCCCTTCTGGTCCACCTCCACCCTCTTTCCTTACATCTTGAGTTCCACTTCATAGTAGGTACTCTCCGACTGCTCTGGGATAGGTGTCCAGCGGAGGATGTGTTGGAAAAATCTGGCTTCAAACCACACAGAAAGAGGGCTGGGCAGCTCTGTCCCTGGGGGGAAAAGAACGTCAACATTAGAGAAAGCACAGTCGTCCTCTGCAACCAGGAAGAAGGTGGCGACGGTGGGAAGGGTTATAATTCACAGACTGGGCACTGGGTTCCATTTAGTGCTCACAGCAGCTCTGGGCTCTAGACACACGCCAAATTTACTAAAGAAGACGTAGAAACCCAGAGAGTCAAATGACGTACCCAAGGCCAGTGGAGTTAGTGGGGGCACCGCGGGGACCTATACCCGGGATGTGTTTGATTCCAAAGCTAGCATCCTGTCCTACACTGTGCAGGATCAGAGAAGTCTCCTGAGGTGCTGACAAGGGCAACTTGAGTCAGAAACATTCCAGGAAGACGGCCAGGAGTGAGAGGGGTATGTGTGTGAGTGGTGAGTTCTCAGATGAGCCAGTCCCTGGCTCTGCCCAATCCCTGACCATGTTCTAGCACCATCCCAGTGCTAAGTTCTCATCCTAGCCCTGCCCCAAAGCCACGGCCCCTGGCCTTTTCTGGATGTGCAGACACCTTGCTCATTGACATCACTCTGCTTTGCTACACAGACATCTTGGGATCCCGGGCATAGGACTTTGCCCAGTCCCTAGTTTCTAGCTATAATCAGATGCCTAGGCGAGTCTTGAAGTAGAATCAGAAGGAATGAATGAACTGTGCCTCCAGACCTCCTCACAGAGGTCTTTAAGGCAAGAAACTCAAGCCTGGCGGTGGTGGTGCACGCCTTTAATGCCAGCACTCGGGAGGCAGAGCCAGGTGGGTCTCTGTGAGGCCAGCCTGGGCTACAGAGTGAGTTCCAGGAAAGGCACAAAGTGACACAGAGAAACACTGTCTCAAAAAACAAAACAACCCCCCCCCCCAAAAAAAAAAGAAGAAGAAAAAAGAAACTCAGTAGTGAACCATCTACATCCTTCCATCCCCTCTAAAGAGCAGATAGCCGGAGCCCCGAACTATCACTTTGCCAGTACCACCCTGGGAAAACCTCTGTCTCTTCTGTAACAACACAATGATCTTGCTGATGAAGGGTGCTATTTGAATTCTGTCAGGTTGAGAGTGTGCAAGACCAGTCAGTAGCCCTTATTCCTCTCCAGCCTTCTTGACCCTTTGAGACGGCTCCTCTTGAAGGCAGCTCTTTACCCACTTCCCCTCTTCTCAAAACTATCCGCTCACCAGTCATGTTTCTTTTTGAGTGACTCCGTCATTTTCAGAAAACACACTTGTCCCTGGCCCCTTGGCTCTCTTTCGTGAACTGTCTTTGAATCTCAAGACCGTGTTTCAGTTGCAAAACTCTTGAGTGAAAAACTCAGCCCATGTTTGTGGTGTTTGGGTCGGACGGACGCACATCCCCAATGCGGCGGTAGATCACATGACTGGCTGTGTGGCTTTTACTTCGAATTTTGGAGTCCTGTAGAAGCGTTTTGGGTCCCCGCTCTCCGTGCCTCTATGCTACTTGATCCCTCTAACCCCCCACCTTTTCATCTCTCCTGGGCCCTAGCCTGAGCTGAAGGGTAGGTAAAGTGGGAGAAGGGGTAGGTGGCAGCCGGCGAAGGCTGAGGGCTGAAGACTAACTGGGATGGAGGCCTGGGGCGGGGGCGAGTTGGTAGGGGTCGGAGAGAGGAGCCGAAGAAGTGGCAGGCTGATGGAAGAATCAGAGCCCCAGAGAAGCAAGGGCTAAAGTTATGGCTTGCTGTGAGGTGGGTGGGTGATGGGTTTGGGAAGAAGGGTACGGGGGATGGGAATTAGAGACCTGACACATCCTTCGATAGCCAGTCCCGAACAGCCACGGTTAAGCTTAGCCTCCTCCATTTACACAACAGGTGAACCGGAGACCCAATTTTGCCAGCGCGAAGGAGCCGGGGCCGGGAAGCGCGGAGGTCCGGAGAGGGCGACCCAAGCCGATTCTCCGAGGACCGGGAACTTTAAAGTAACAGAGCGAGCGCTGGGGAGCCTACCGTGTGTGCGGAAGCCCTGGCTCAGCTTGGCGAGCGCGGAGAGGAGCAGGAGCAAATGCGACAGCATCCTGGGCGCACATCGGCATCGTCCGCCGGAGCCGGCCGGAGGCGCGCGGCGGGGAGAGTTGAAGACTGTCGTCGGATCTGCCTGGCCAGCAAGACAGCCGTCTGAGGCCCCGCCCTCATTCCGTGTCGAGGCCCCGCCCTCGTTCGGGGGAGTTTGGAAACCTCAGTAGGCTAGACCTGGCCCAGGAGAATCGCCTGAGGTTTTTGTCTCAAGGTGAAAGTGCAGCACAGCCTGGCCGTGTGGCATGGTGTGTGTGTGTGTTTGTGTGTGTGTGTGTGTGTGTGTGTGTGTGTGTGTGTATGTGTGTGTGTGTTAACGGTGCAAGTGGCCAGGGACAACTTCGCCCACTGGGTGAGTGTGGCAGCTTGTTGAGAGTGAGCACATTTTATGCTGTGGTTGGGAGCAGAGCTGTAGTGGCCAACGAGGCCAGGAATCGGCTGACTGTGCCAGGCCCAAAGCACAGGTGTGCGAGGACACTTGTGAGAGTCCTGGTGTTGCTATTGGACCTCCGTGCAGGGCTCTCAGCTAAACCAACAGCGAGAGACTGTCCCCTCCCTGACTTCATACTTTTGGTGGGAGTCCACAACACCCCCAGGCCTTTTAGGTTGTTCTTGTCTTAAATCTGCAGGCTAGAGGTGATAATAAGCCTGATGAGGGACCCGATATCACCCAAGTGTCTCTTCAGTGGTCAAGACCTCTGTCTGCCTTCCAGTTTCGCCAAAGATGTTACTGTGTGAGACCGAGCTTTGTCCACCTCACTTACTGGCAGTGTGAGTGTGGCACTTGGCTGATTTCCGGGTGGATCTGGACTGGATTTAATTGTGATGTGCACAGTGCCTGTGGGTCGGTCCATCTGCCAGGCACATATACATACTGTCCTGGAAACCCTGTTTTTGTTCTGGGAGGGCACAGAAGCTAAAGAAGGCCTGGAGTCACTAGGATGTCCTTGCTCTTCGAGGTCATTTCCCACTCCTCTCAGGGCCTGCTGGTCACACTGAAGACACCAACTGTGTGGAGGGAGCAAGCACAGGCAACCTTCAGGCTGCAAACTGCAAGAGCCTCACTGTACCTCCCAATTCTGCCTCACATGAAACTGGAAACTTACTTAAAACAGAACAAGATATGAGGTATTTGCTAAGGGCTATTTTTTTTCTTTCTTCCTGGCAAGTGGATTAGGTGCTTCTCCAGTGTGAACTTTGTAGATGACGAAGTCCTGTCACTATGTCAAAAGTTCGGACACCCCACTGCCTGGAGAAAGGGGCTCCAACTTGGGGGTGTGGGACATGAGCCCTGTGTACATGACCTGGGAGCTAATGACGTGTCACCCCCACGGGCTTTGTTTAAACACCATGGCAATGGATAGTGCTATGCCCGGTGGCCTGGGCGGAGAGTGTGCCAAGTGGGCTGGGATCCTGTTCTCCGCCTGAGGGTGCGCATTGAAAATGGTGCTTGGCAGTGAGGGCCAGGCTGCCTAGTTGGGGATATTAATGTGTAAACCACAACTTCCAACACACACACACATACACATACACACACACACACACACACACAATCAGTCAGGATCACCCTCAGGGGACAGTCTTGTAACCACACCCTCACATTAGCTAAGTCACAAAGCTTTAGGCTTTTTAATATGTGAAGATTTTTTTTTTTAACTGTTGTTTTTGCACGGTCCCTCCACTGGTAAAGAATATACATGGCTTGGGAGTACCCGGGCATGACGTAAGTGCCTAGGCGTAACTTCCTTGTTCCTAATAACCTTTCTAAAAAGAGAGCACCGTGATGTTCCTTCCTCAGTTGCCTTTCTTTTAGTTTTCGGTTGAGTTACCAGAATTTTAAAGCCTCCCTCCACGACTATTTCGAAGGATGATCATGATTGTTCATTCATATACCAACATTTACAGTCACAGCTGAGGCTGGGGAAAACGAAAGGATCTAGCCCAAACCAGATCCTTTCCTCGAGAAACCACCTGGATAGAGACAGAAAGTGAGCAGAGATTTGTAACAGTTTGTGGAAAGGAAAGTACAGACTAACAAGCAGATGCAGGGTGCAGAACAGGGAAGGCTTTCTGGAGGAGGTGGCCTTTTAGCTGAGACTTGAGAGTTGGCTTGGCAGTAGGTGAGCAGCAGATGGATAGGAAGGGATTTGTATTCTTGGAGATGAGGGTCTACAGTTTGAGGGACTCACATAGTTTGATGCCTTGCTCAGCTCAGAACCAGCTTTGAGTGCAGGCTATTCCCTGTCCCTCTTTCCTCCATAGCAACCAGGAGAGAAGAAGCTGTATCAGGCATACAATTATCATACCTTAGAAAAGTAAAAATATTTAGAAGGATCCACATGCATGCTGTTTTGTGTTGAGGGGCCTGTTCTTTGGATCTGACAAATCCACTGTGAGTTTCTGCAATTAACATCTGTGTTGGAACAGATGACAAAAAACAGGATTTTCGTATACTCGAACTCTTGGGGTGCATCAAGGACTCCACAAAACACTTCACAGCATAGCAGGGATCAGCCAGACGCAGAACAACCCCCTTTCCCTTTCCTGAGAACATGGGGCAACAGTCTCCCAATGAGTGAGTGGAAAATACCATCGGATTTTAACCCATGTAAAGGGGCAGCAGTGGATGCCACATCCAGGCCTTGCCTCTGCCTCCGCCTCTGCCTGTGCTGTTCTGTCAGCCACCCAGAGGGCCCCAGCAGTCAGTGTTTTGCCAATGGGAGCACAAGGGCAGAAGGAAGAGACCCCTTTTCATTCAGTAATCTGCAGAGCTGAGGTCAGCCCTGGGCTGTTTGATCCTAGAACTCCTGTATCTCCTATTTTGGCAATGGCACCTTTGAATGTTGGAAGAATCCTTGTAAAGCACACTATCAAGCGAGTTAAAAGAGAATGAGAGTGTGGGGGCGGGGAGGAGGAGGAGGGCAGCTTGGGGCTGAGAGGATGGTGTTATGGTGAGCCCAGGAAACCAACGGGCATGGCTAGGTAGACATCTTGCTCCCAAGGCAATTCTTAGGAGAGTCCTAGGGCACATTTGAAGTCTGGGTGGCTCCACTGTCTCACGTGCACTCCACTCCATCTGGGTCTCTGTGGTGCTGCGTCTACACGGACTGCACAGGGGGTAGGTCAGTCAGCTGAGCAGCAGGAAACAGTGCTCCACAGGCACGGTTTGTCTCGGGTCTAGTGTTTGGGGAAGTTCCAGGCCTTGTGATCACTCTGACAGAGGCGCACATAACAGAGAAGCCCAGAACCACGGACTCTGAGATAGAGACAGAAAGGAGGAAGCTGCCTGGGGAAACTTGGCAGTCCTGGGGGTGAGAAGGATTTCAAGTGCAGGGGATGGGGCCTGCCAAGGCTTAGCCCAGGCCTGCTCAGTCCAGCCCCGGTCCCAGGAGGAACCCTCTGAAAGTATCTGTAGAAACTAATTCATGACCACTCCCTTTCACTCTCTGCCCAACACCTTCCTGGCTACGTATGACGGGGCTCAGAAGAGATGTACTCTGCACGGTGGCTCGAACTTGGATATGGCGCTGCGGTGCGGCTGTGTGCACTTCAGCTGGGTTGCCGAGGAGCATCCTTGAAGTGGTAGACAGGAGTAGATGTGCATTTTAACTAGGATAGGAACACAGAATGTGGAGGTGGGTAATTGGCGACGGGCGTTCACTCAGCAGAATTCAAACCATGCTTTCCAGACTCAAGTTCTTCTTCCTGTCATGTCTCAGCAGCTCGGCTTGTGGAACTCTGTGGTTACGGTAGCTTGTCCTGCCTGCCCGCTTGGAGGAAAGGGAGAGAAATGCCAGTCTTCCAGGTGAAGGCGGAAGATTGCTCTTGCTGAGTCCTTGGAGCAGCAGACTCAGCCTTCTCACTCCTGCAGTCCGCCTAGGGACCTGCTCTTTTTTTTTTTTTTTTTGGTTTTTCGAGACAGGGTTTCTCTGCGTAGCTTTGCGCCTTTCCTGGAGCTCACTTGGTAGCCCAGGCTGGCCTCGAACTCACAGAGATCCGCCTGGCTCTGCCTCCCGAATGCTGGGATTAAAGGCATGCGCCACCACTGCCCGGCGGGACCTGCTCTTGATGGACACTCAAAGTGGAGCCCACGGGCCTTTGAAAGGGGAAGCCTCGTTCTAGCTTGTCCACTACCAGCTTTGTGGCCTTAGCCCAAGGCCCTGGGCCTCTGTTAGCCACTGCATGACTGGATCCATTGTAACCTTGCTGGGCTATTGGAAGGCTGGACCCAGAAACATGGGGACTACTGATGCAGCCTTCCTGGTGGAACCGATGCGGTCAGTAGACACAGCCAGCAGCACCCGCCACCTGCTGTATAGATAGAGCCTGCTCCTTGTCCCTCAGCCTGGACTTGTGTGGCCTCTCTCTGGCTGTAGTGTGTGCTATCCATGACAGGGGCCTGGGTTCTTGGGATACTTCGCTCCATCTGAGTGATTTTTAGGAGCATCATTTTAACAGGAGAGGGTATGGGCCTATCCACTGTCCTTCCTTATGAATTCAGACGTAAACAACTGAGCACAGATCATACACAGAAATACCCCAGCCATTTAAAAGAAGAGTATGTCTGCCTTCTATAGCCCAGATGGCCTTGACTTCTCCTGTTTTTGAGGGTGTCATTTCCTCTTTCTTCTAAAATAACAGCATCCCCGACCCCTGCCTTCCAAATGAAGGAAGCTGATCGGGTGCTGGGTTTGCAGACTGTACCCCCCTTCCCCCCCCTCCCCCGGCCAGCAAGCCCAGAGCACATGTCTCTGTCTCACATGGAAACTTCTGAGCTGCAGCAGCCTGCTTCAGGCATGTACCCAGACACGATGCATTTGAAAATGCTGAGGGACATGTGCAGATATCAAAAGTATCAAGACATTATTATTTATAACTGCTTCAGGACATGGCAATTATAATTGTATTGAAGCAATAGTTATATTGCTTCAGGACTGACACTGAGAGGGCCACCAGATCAGCTCCATTCTACACTGGGCAGTCTGTACCGTGGGACAGGCCAGCACTCCCTGCCTCCACCTCTCCAGGCCTCTCCACAAAGGAGGAGGGCCTGTTCT